GCACAGCTGGTAAAACTAAAGATATTTTTGTGTGTTCAAAAAACTATTTATTTCACAGAATCAGCACCAATTTTAAATCTTTACCTTTTCTCACTTACTGTCAATTTAAATTCATATATCTTTAAAAAATTAAATTTTCTTTGTAATTTGAAAGATAAATTTTTGTTTTAAATTAACATGGTTAAACCACTTCTTCACTGACTACCTTTTTTCTCATTTAACAAAATTTTCGTTAACTTGGCAGTTGGGAAACAGTTATTAACACTAGAAAGACTGAACATTGCTGTATACCTAGAAAAATTAAAGGGACCAGTTTGGCCCTTCCTAGACTGTTTGTTATTAGATCAATTAGACATCCAAAATCTTGAAATATAATCATTATTAACCTAATATGATATCTATTTAAGACTTTGTCATCAAAATTGGTATTTTATTTATTATATTATATTTTTCAAATTGGTATTTTATTCGATTTGATTAACTAAACTATTTGATAAAACGAAACGTTGGCTTTTCATTTATATATATTCATTAGTTTCTTAGATAATTGAGTTTCCTTTTCAAATGCAGTTTCTTTTTTGTCAAATACTCTTGTTCTTTTTATTGAAACTGAGATACCTTATATATACCAAAAAGGTACCTTATACTCAAAACTACCTTGGGTTATCTACCTAAATACCTAAGAAGTCACTCTGGCCTCTCCTGTCATTCTAGGTATGAGGTTCTTTATTGACATTTCTATTAGGATAACACCGGAATGATTAAATATGCACTTAAACTGGATCAAATAATGAAAAGTCAGATGTACTCAACACTTTCAGTTAGTTATTTTTCCAATAACGAAACAACAAAAAAATAGAAGAGCCAAATTAGCCCCATCTTTTTTCCAAAAGTTAATGTAAATACAGTAGGAAACCGATTATCCGGAACCATCGCTATTCCGGATAACCGATTTTTCCTGTTTTCTGAATCGCAACAAAAAGCCGTTTTTTTACTGTTAAACCCAACTAAAAAAATATATATATTGGGAAATAATCTGAAAAAGAAGAAAAAACGATGAAGTAATACACTAATGATTATTTCCAAAATGATGCTAAGGTAAAAATCTTTCAAAAAAGAAAGAAAATTCTAAAATCTTATGAGGAAAAAAAAAAAATTTTTAAAAATGGCGGAAAAATTCATTGAATTTTGTTCCGGTTTTTTGGTTTTCCGGATAACAGGTTCTGTACTGTAGAATGTTACTTTTTTTTACTTTCATTTATTTATTTTCTTGGCTTTGCAGCTCATTGATTGTTTTTTTTTTTTTTTTAATCATCTCATAATTAGTTTGGTTAAAATGGTGGTATAAAACTGTTGTATATAACTCTCTGTAATCTTCATTCTGATTATGAAAAGATGAGAAGTTCTCTAAACAAATTTATGGACTTAAAGTGAATTTAATTGACTTACGAAACTCAAAGATTTGTCTATTATTTCTCATTGATTAGTTATTTTCTGTTTCATTGTAAAGTTATGTCTCAAAAATAATTTTATTTTGTAGTTGAGCCAAATTTTTCACCCCAAAAGACTAGTTTAATTTAGTAAGACATTAACAGTTAAATCAAATGCTGAAAAATTTGGTTCATTTCTTTAAAACATTTTCTATTTTTTTAAACTTTCCTGATGTAATTTTCATTCACTTTAAAATATTTCAGACATTGTTTGTTTATACTTTTTCTTTCAATTTCAGACTATTTGGCATTTGAAGAAGCAGCAGCACATCTCAGCCCTTCTGTTACTTTTTATGCTACATTTGACAGAGTGGTATGAAATATTTTGATCTTTTTATCTGGAAATATTACTCTAATAACTTATAATGTTGATGATCTGAATGGAAGAAAAAAATCTGACACAAGATTCTTCCGCAATTCAGCAACTTTTTTTTTTAATTTTCCTTTTTGTTTTTAATCATTATGAATAAATTTCCAATGTTTTGAATTATTTCTGAAGTTTTATAAAATGACTATGCTGTCAAAAATGTTCTCGTATACTCTTTTCAAGATGTATAAAAACTAATTGAAATTAACTTAAAATTCATAGATTGATAAAGATTGAGGTCATTGGATTTTGGATGTGCCTTATTTGTAAATCATTCACTAATTTTTTTGAAAGTTAGTTTTATCAATTAAACTGACGTTTCTGTGATCAGTTTTGTTATCTTAGTCTTTCATATTTACATCAATAATTTATACAGTAATTTAATCTTATTCAATTAAAACTTTGTGTTACTAGCATTCCAAGATCTTATTCATCTGTCTTATTCATCTATTAGTACAGTGAAACCTCTACCACTCTCTGTTCCACAGTAAAATGATTGTTGATGGAGGTTGGTCTGTCTTATAAGTTGCCTCCATTGACTTGAAAATTGTTATCAAAAATACATGATTTTTCGTAAACGATTTTAATTTTAGGCAGTGTCATTTTCTTGGTGCAGAAGTGCCATTTTTGTTGGCATCATGAAAAGACGGATCTGTAAATAAAATTTTTTATTTCCAATGAGCTGCACAATCGGTCTTGCCGATGAGCACACCTAGTGCGTTCTCCAGAGGTGGTATCCACTCTTTCAGAACCACCACAATGGGTGAGATACCGTTGGTCATGTTAATTTGGACGTCTAGTTTCTGCCACACTAGATGGCAGCACCGAGACTCTATTAATATAATTTAGCATCTATAAAAATGATCCCTACTGATATAATAATGTATAAAAACAAATTTACCAATTATGAATCATAGAGCTATTTTAAATAAACAATTATATGTTTTGTTCAAGTTTGCATTTAATTTTATATCATATAAAATAGTTTGCTTTAAAAGATGAGGGTTTTTTTTTTAGATGCTTGTTTTATCTAAAATAAATTTTTGTTCTAACTTAGCTTTCCACTCTAAAAGTAAATCATTGATAGCAACATCTTTGGTACACTCCTACTGCACAGTGAGGTTGGATCGTCAAGAAGAGCTCTCTAAATAAGAGCCTCACACAAATATTTTGAATGCATTTTGATCTACTTATTTGTTTAGTTAAATTTTTTTTTTAATATTTTCTTGTGTTTCTTTATTTGACCTTCTGCTTTTGGTGCAGATGTTTTCCCAGTCACTGAGAGAGATTTTAATGGTTTCTCTTAAGGGTTTTTACAACACACAGTTTATGCAAAAAATTAACTAGAGGTGATCTTTAGTTGAGATTTCACTGTAACAAATTGATTCTCATATTAAATTATAATTTTCGTTGTAAGTTATAATTATATAGTATTAAAATTTATGCCTTTCTTCTCTTCAAACAGCAGCGAAACAAAAATATTGTTTGGTGTATTTACTGTACCAAAATAATTTGTTTAATTATTTTTCAAGAACATTCTTATATTCATTTATTTTATTTTAAAGGGTTTTCTTCTTTTTCTTCTTTATTACAAACTTGCACCGGTAAATTATCCATAAATTCTAACTAATAAGAAATAAAAAATTGCATATAACAAATTTAGTACATGACTCCTAAGTATATAACTTTAAGGAGTGGCAATGAATTTGATTTTTGCATCAATTGATCAGAGATCAGAGTTAAAATATTCCTTGATGTAATAAAAACTGTATCATTTTGTCCTAAAGATTATAAGATTATAAGCAAAATGTATATAATGTTTGCTTACTTTATGTTAATTATTAGAATTAAGGTAGATTTTTAACTTTATCTGGGAAAAAACTAATTTTATCCTTCTTTTGTTTCCGTTTTTTTTTTTTTTTTTTTTTTTAGACTGANTTTTTTTTTTTTTTTTTTTTTTTTTGTCTGCATATAACTAATAATTTAGTTTTCAATTAAACCTTTAAACCTCATCAGTTTTAAACATATTCCTGTTGAATAAAAATTTCTTTAGCAAATAACTAAAACATGTTCAAAACAAAATTATTTTTCGAAAAAAATATGTTTTTTAAAGTTTATCAAAGCTAGTTTGAAATGCAATTATAAAAAATCTAATGCTAGTTATGTAGTTTCTTCTAGTTATTATCTGGGAAGACAGATAGGCCAATCAAAGGTTATGCAACCCCGTCAGGTCCTCAGGCTACAAATTATGCAACCCTAATACATATTAAACCTTAGTTTATGTAGGATAAATTTTTAAAGGTACTATTTTTTTTCATAATTGATGTCATGTAAAAGACGTTGCTTAAATTACTTTTATAATTTGTATGAAAATGTACATTTCTATGATTATTTCACTCTGCCAGCCAACATTTTGTTCTACTTATGTTTCTAACTTTTTATTCTGTTATCTTTCTAATTCTTCATTACAATTATACTTTCACTGTAGTAATATGAATGAGACAGAGCATGATAACTGCTTTAACTAGAACTAAAAAGTTATATGAATTTAAAAAAGAAAAAAATGTTTTGATTCATAGTTAATATACCAGTACAGTATTCAAACAATTGGTGTAAAATCTCATTGTCTGAAAATCTGTCTTGGTTTAATAATGACCAACGCACATTATATTTATTAATGAAATAATTTCTTTTTAAAGATGTTATTTACGATCTTTTCCATATAACGTGTTGTAGAATTTCTCTCTGCACTTTAATTATTATTGTCTTTTTTTTATTGCTGATATTCATTAATCCAATTGCTTTGTTATTTTATTTTAAAAGCAGGCTGTTTTTAATGCTTTAAAATTTCATCTTCTTTTCTAGTTTGGCATATGCAATTGCATATGATAAACCAATTTTTATTCAGAGCATGTTTATAATATTATAATGTCATAATATTATTATGTAATTTTTTGTTATTGTTGATACAAACAGTTATTACTTTATAGAAAATAAGTTGTTTACTAAAGTTTAGAAATTATCTGTCATGCTCTTTTTTTTTTAAGTTGATCCATACGCTAAAGCAATTTCATTGAAAGCATTCAATAAAATATGATGATTTGCTTATTGTTGATATTGATTAATCCATTTTCATTTTAAGGTTGCAAAACACCTCAAATTAACAACAGTTGGTGAGATTCAATTAGTCAAACCATTTAGTAAAACACCAATCCCATGTCCACAAAATGTAAGTTCATGGTTTTTTATGTTCCTCTACATAATAAAATTCTTGTATTTCAATTCATCTAAATTTCTTGTCATGAATTTATTGGTTGATTAAATCCTTGTCAAGTTACATACCATTATAAATGTAATGTAAAAAAGCTGTTTAAGCTTTATTTTGCAATATTGAAAAGAAATTATTTTAAAAAGTACTATTCATCATTATTATTTTTATAAAATAATAATTAGTTTAGCATTGTAAAATAATGTTGATTTATCAAATAAAATGAAGCTTTTAATTTATTTTGTTTACTAATCTAGATGTGTTTTGATTTTTTTTAGCCTGCAACTGCCGCTGATATAGAAGCTTTTGTGAATTCCAATGAAGGCTCTATTTTATCCAAGATTAATGAACATAATCTTTATGATCCAAAAGTAACAGGAATAATTTTAATGGCTTTTCATAGTAATGTGTATAAGTACATGAAATGTTTTTACTAAAATTTTTTTTTCATTCTTGTCTTATAACTCTAACTTAACTTTTATAAACATCAAACGATGTTTTCCAGAGTTTGATTTTATGTTCACAATGGAGTAGTTACGCCTTACTATTTAATTTTTTTCAAAATTTACTATTTATAGTTATTTATGAAAAATAATAAATTACTTTTACATTGGCAACTGGAATGCAACTCAGTTTAAGTATGAGACAATATAACAATTTTTAGCAAAAATTTGTGGTTTCAAAATCTACCTTACAGATAAATTCTTCATTGGTTTATGATAATTTTGCAAAAAACGAGCCATGTTTAAAAAGAGAAAAAAATTGCTCTGTAATATTAAATTTATTATAAGGATCAAAAAATTCTAAACTTTGTATAAAGATCTTAACATAATTTTAAGCGGCAAAATTTAAAATAACTGAGTGAAATAACTTATAAATAATGACTTAAAAATACAAGTACAGTTTTGGAAAAAAAAATTGCTTCTTTTTTCAAAAAATTATTTGTAAAGTGTTATTTAACTAATATGTTTCTAACTGTGTCCCTGACTAGTAATTTATTAAGATTAATAATGAATAATTCATAATATAATTGTTTCTTTTTTTATGGAGTAAAAAGTAATAAAATTTTAAAAAAATAATAATATATATTCAAACTACTCTGCTTTCAAACTAGTGGAGCCACTCTTTTCTTATAAAATGAAATAGTTGATTTATTGTTAAGAATATATTCAGTGGCTCAGTTACTTTGAGGAAAAAAACAAGTCTTTCCAGTATTATAAAACAAAATAATTGATTCATGGTCAAGAATATATTCAGTTATTCATTTATTTTAAGGAAAAACAAGTCTTTCCAATATTCTAAAATGAAATGGTTGATTCATTGTTAAGAATATATTTATGGCTTACTTTGAGAAAGAAAAAAAGAACAAGTCTTCCTTTCATTATAAAATGAACTAGTTGATTCATGATCAACATTATATTCAGTGACTCAGTTACTTTGAGAGAGAAAAAAAAAATCTTTCCCATATTATGGAATGAAATAATTGATATACGGTCAAGAATATATTCAGTGGCTCACTTACTTTGAGGATTAATAAGGTTTATATGCCTCAAGGAGAACATGACTGGAGAGTTAAAATAGCCTTAAAAAACTCAGGAAACATTCTAGAAAAAGGAAAACCATTGCTAAAAACCTGGAAAAATTGAAATTTTTGGACTTTTTTTTAACCTTTTTAAAGAAATTTCTCAAGGCAAATGTATCATATCATTTCTGTTAATAGGAAATAGCTTTTATTGAAACTCTATCAAAAAAAATTGTTTACTGTATTATTTGACCAAGTTTTGTAAGATGAAAATGGCAGATTTTTTGTTCCTTATATGTTAGAAGTCTTTATTAATGAATATTTTGGTTATTATTTTTTTAACTAAAGGTATGAGTTATTTTACTAAAATTTATTAGTTATTAATGATAAATAGTCTTTCATTTGGAATTCTTTAACATAATGGGAACTAATTAAACTGAACTACTGATTTACTGGTGTATAAAGATATTGATAATGATGCACATAAATTTTAATTTTTCAAGCTATTAAGATCTTATTAGTGTTTGTTTTCTACAAATATTATTCTCTTGTTTTCTTGATTGGTGTTTTGGGTTGGGATGTTTTGGGTATTCATATTCATGCAAACTGTAGTTAAAACATGCTTTTCTGTAGTAATTACACTGCACAATTCATTCCTGCATTGAAGTGCAAAACACTAGTGAAAGTGACTATTCTCTAGAATAAAAAAATATTGTAGTTCTATTGTAGTCAAATTATACCCAAATTTATTGTGTTTGTTACATAAAAATTACCAGAAATAAAGCAAACTTGTTATATTATGATGCAATTCTGCCAAACATTTGCATGTTTGTCAAAAAGAAAAATATTGTTTTTAACTTAAACAAACTGTGGATTTAAAGTTTTGTTATCATATTTTTTTCAACAGTGTTAAATTGTAGAAAACCATTTTTGTGTATATACTTCTTTGGCTGTTATGATTATTTTTAAAATTTTATAAATTTTTTCTAGCTGTTAGATCCAAACAGATATTTAGTCCTAGCTGTTGG